TTATTATTATTAATACTATGAGCCCCTGGCTGCTATAATATTATTATTATTAATACTATGTGCCCCTGGCTGCTATAATATTATTATTATTAATACTATGAGTCCCTGGCTGCTATAATATTATTATTATTAATACTATGAGCCCCTGGCTGCTATAATATTATTATTATTAATACTATGAGTCACTGGCTGCTATAATATTATTATTATTAATACTATGAGTCCCTGGCTGCTATAATATTATTATTATTAATACTATGAGTCCCTGGCTGCTATAATATTATTATTATTAATACTATGAGCCCCTGGCTGCTATAATATTATTATTATTAATACTATGAGTCCCTGGCTGCTATAATATTATTATTATTAATACTATGAGCCCCTGGCTGCTATAATATTATTATTATTAATACTATGAGTCCCTGGCTGCTATAATATTATTATTATTAATACTATGAGTCCCTGGCTGCTATAATATTATTATTATTAATACTATGAGTCCCTGGCTGCTATAATATTATTATTATTAATACTATGAGCCCCTGGCTGCTATAATATTATTATTATTAATACTATGAGTCCCTGGCTGCTATAATATTATTATTATTAATACTATGAGTCCCTGGCTGCTATAATATTATTATTATTAATACTATGAGCCCCTGGCTGCTATAATATTATTATTATTAATACTATGAGTCCCTGGCTGCTATAATATTATTATTATTAATACTATGAGTCCCTGGCTGCTATAATATTATTATTATTAATACTATGAGTCCCTGGCTGCTATAATATTATTATTATTAATACTATGAGTCCAAGGCTGCTATAATATTATTATTATTATTATTATTAATACTATGTGCCCCCGGTTGCCATGGTGAGCCCCCGGTTGCCATGGTGATATCGTGGCGAGCCCCCCCCCGGTACTCACGGGCCCTGAAGCTGCTCTCCCGGTTCATGGCTGCGGACTGATGACGCGGCTCGCCTTCCACCGGGTCACGTGACGGAGCGAACCAATCAGAGGGCGAGGAGAGGCGGACTGTCGGCAGATTGGGCTGTCAATAAAGATTGTTGAAATGGAAATGAAAGAACAATTACCAGCGGCTGTGATGTGGCAGGGGGCGGGGTTCAGCCCGCCACGTGTTACAGGAAATGGGTGGGGCTTCCAGGGGCAGCAGCTGGGCGGGGCTGAACTTGTCAATAAATAATAAATCAGATTATAAATACATAATACCTCACTGAAAATAATAATAATAATAATCAATTAATATAAATATATGGCAAGAGAATTAATTTATTATACAGAAACTATTTATAAATTCATCAATTTAAACAATTTATCACATATACATCCCAATATATATACAATGATTCACAATCTGTGCCCATATACATCCCAATATATATATACA